TTTCCCCAAAGCAATGACACACTTTCTATTCCTATTCTTTATCTGCTAATAGATTACGAATGAGGATAAGATTCTAAGTTGACATTAGTGGAAGTATAAATGTCAGCAGTCATATTAGACCACAAACTTGACTTCATATCTCAACAAGATTCAAAGGAATAGTTGACCCGAAAATGAAAATTTGCTGAAAATGTACTCACCATCAGGCCATCCACAGTGTACATGAGTTTGTTTCCACATCAGAACAGATTTAGAGAAATGTAGCATCACATCACTTGTTCAGCAATGGATCCTCTGCAGTGAATGGGTGCCGTCAGAATGAGTGTCCAAACAGCTGATAAAAACATCACAATAATCCACAAAAAATCCACATGACTCCAGTCCATCAGTTAATGTCTTGTGAAGTGAAAAGCTGTGTGTTTGTAAGAAACATATCCATTATATAAACATGTATAACTGCAAACCATTGCTTCCAGCTAAAATACGCATCCTCTATCCATAACATTGCTTTCTCCAGTGAAAAGTCGCCTCACCTGAATCAGGAGAGAAATATGCACAGATCAAGCACCGTTTACAAGCCAAAACAGCTCTGTATGAATATACTGGTGGATTCTGATGTGTAAGGACAACAGGGAAGAGACTTTTTACTGGAGAAAGCATTATTATGGATTTTGAACTGGTATTTTGGTCAGAAGCGACATTTTAAAGTTAAAAATCTTTAATGATGGATTTGTTTCTTGAAAAAACACAAAGCTTTTCACTTCAAAAGACATTAATTGATAGGCTGTGGATTATTGTGATGTTTCTATCAGCTGTTTGGACTCTCATTCTGACGGCACCCATTCACTGCAGAGGATCCACTGGTGAGCAAGTGATGTAATGCTACATTTCTCCAACTCTGTTCCTTCCCATGAACAAACAAACTCATCTACATATTGGATGGCCTGAGAGTGAGTACATTTTCAGCAAATGTTTTTCGAAGCAAATTCATTTTTGAGTGAACTATTCCTTACCTAGGAAATGAGTGCTGATCACCCATGCAAAACTTGCCACTATTATATATGCTAGAGCGTTATGGGTTGTTGCCGGTACAAATTACACTCCAAAGTTTAATACTTCGAGGCAGGGGTTTGTTTTGCCTTAGCAAACACCACCAATGAATGTCCTCTTCAATCATAGTAAACAGGCCATCTACAGTCTCTATAGATGGTGTGTGGGCAGCTGTGCTTGGAGAAAACATTAAACCGATTCTACCAAACAGAAGTCACTATTCACGACAGACAGTGAGGTTAGGAACTGTGTGTGAACTGTCGGCCTGTCTCGAAGAGCTTCTCTTACATGTTTTTGTCACTCCTAACACAAAAACACACACATTCATGGGAAGATTGTGTGAAAAGTGTGAGTGCAGTGTGAAAAATTTGCCTGACCTGCTGAACTGTACTAGACAAATCCAAGCAGCACCACTCCAGTGATCACAGCTAAATTGGGTTATTTCACTGTTCGTGTACGTGCTGGAGACAACATGAATGTTTTCCCCTGAGTCAATGTGAAACACTGTTTGCAACCCATTTTATATTCATGCACTACTATTCTTTTATTCAGAAAGGATGCATTCAGTTGCTCAACAGTGACAGTAAAGACATTTATAATATCACAAAAAAATAGGGCTGCACGATTAATCGAATGCGATTGTCATGCGCACTGCAGCGATAAGCATTTTCTGGGTTTCTTCTGCGAGGCGTATTTGGAGTTTCAGCGCGAGAGCGCCCTCTGGACTTTGGATGGAGATTTACTGCTGATCACAGAACCGTGCTTCACTGAAAGATACGTATGACAATCGCAGCTTCTGTCGAATCGCGATCTCGATTCCATTTCGATTTATCGTGCAGCCCTACAAAAAAAATCAAAAATTTCAAATAAATGCTGTTCTTCTGAACCTTCAGTTCAGCAAACAATCCTAAAAAAATGTGTTTTCCACAAAATATTAAGCAGCACAACTGTTTTCAACATAGATAATAATAATGTTTCTTAAGCAGCAAATCAGCATATTAGAAGGATTTCTAAAGGATCATGTGACACTGGAGACTGGAGTAATGATGCTGAAAATTCAGCTTTGCATCACAGGACTAAATTACATTTTAAAATAAATTCAAATATAAAACAGTTATTTGAAATTGTAATAATATTTCACAATATTACTGTTTTTATTGTATTTTTGTTCAAATAAATGCAGCCTTAGTGAGCATAAGAGACTTCTTTCAAAAACGTAAAAAATCGTAACAACCTCAAATGGTATTTAATTATAAAATGAGCATAAAATTTGGGGCAGGGCTTAATTTAATACATTATAAACTGATTGGATCATGAAAACAGGTGCTACCAACGCCATCTCACGACCAATTTGTACGTATTTTACGAGGTGGCTAATTCGTATGAATTCATACGACCTCACTCGTACGATTTTGTATGATTTGTCAAGACCCCAGTGACGGGTAAGTTTAGGGGCGGGGTTAGGTGTAGGTCATTCGTACAAATTCATACGAATTGTGCAACTCATAAAATACGTACGTATAAATTTGTACGAGTGAGGTCATACGAATCTGTACGAATTAGCCACCTCGTAAAATATGTACGAACTGTCATGAGATCGGGCTGGTGCTACATATTTGAATACAGCTCAACGGGCGGGTTTGATGATGTCAGCAGAAGTGGAAAGTCGTTTCATGGGCAATTTTTTTTTTTTTTTTAATAACATGCACCAATGAATCGCTCACAATGACTCATATATTAAGAAAATAAATAAGAGTCAATTTTGATTTCATGCCGACTTTAAGAGTGCGCCACCAGACTTCAGATTTTCTTTCTTAAATCTTACAGCCCTGTCTCCCTCTCTCTCTCTCTCTGTGCTCTGCCCTGCTGTTTGTTTGACACACAACACAAACTCGGCGGCAAGAGAGACGGCTTTAGCTAATGGCTTTTTAATGGGCTGCTGGGTTTCTTGTGTCTCCGAGCTGATGGCCACCACTTACCCTAAGCACACAAACACACACACGCGGCATACAAACGGAGTCATTCCCACTTTGTCTTGTCTCCTTAAAGTGACTTAGAAACCTCACTCCACTAACGACATCCTGCTCTTCAGCAGACTGGAGTCACATATGAACCCTGATTCCATTACGGACTCATAAAACACTCTGCAAAGACTGAGACACAAGACAGACGCTCTCTAATTTCATAACTCAACATTACAGCATGCATTCACACAGATGGAAATGGGAAAATGCTTCGCATTGCTATAACAGAGTGATTTAGAGCAGAAATTTAGAACAGAACTTCCTGTAAATCCTGAAACCTAACCTAATCTCTCATACCTAAAATGTAAAGAGAAAGATCAAATGCAGAGAAAAGAGAGAAATCATTAACTCACTGTCATTTCTAACATATGCAACTTTCTTTCTTCCATGCAACCCGAAGTCTCTGTCCTGCTTTTTTACATATATCGGAAGTGTATAACGGTTTATGCTGTCATACTTTAAAAAGCTCCCTAAAAGTATGACTTATGCACTATTTACCAAGTCATACAACAGATTTGTGCAGCTAACAGTCCAAAACTGTAGTTGTTGTTCAATTAAATTTCATCCTCCAACACAGCTCTCAATTCCCATTTGTGCTTGTGCCCCATTCAGACTTTGTACATATCAAGGATGGCACTTGGCAGAGACATTGTGTGCGCCATGGAAGAAAGTCATAAGGGTTTGGAATTACATGAGAGTGAGAAAATTATGGCAGAATATAGTTTTGAGAGCACTGAATAATCATTTTGACTGCCAATGAATAAAAACGCTATTATCAAATCAGCACAACATAGTCAAATAACACCTTCAACAAACATGTTTCAATGTAAACTTAAAATGTAAATACATAAAAAATGCATTTAATACTACTATACATCTAAAATAACTTTTAAGCAATTAGGCCTATACGTTTTTTTTTTTAATTGCCTATAGGCCATGTGTCCAAATGCAAGAGATTAAATATGTAAGATTTTAAATCCATCTTCAAAATCTCTGTCTTTCAATAAAACTTATTTGACAAAAAATACATGAATTGAAAAATTAGCTGTGAATCCGAGATACCGGAATAATAACATGCAAAATAACATGCATGCTTAACATATAATAACATATCCAGGGGGAGAAACGATCAAATAATGCATTTACCGAACCAGTTTTGCAGAGACAACATTTCAGTAACCACAAAAGTCCCACACTACAAGTCAAAGCGTGCTAAATAAAAGCTCGCGAAGTCGCTGTCGCCCAAGGACGTCACCATAGTACGCTAGCGTCTTCAGTCAGAGCGATATCGGAAAATACGCTGTAAAAACTTACTTAGATTGCTGTCAGTAATTACATAGCCTATAGATTTTTTACGGATTGCAGATATTCCACAAATATTTTTTTGTAAATGTAGGCTGTCAGATTATGACGGTTAGTTAACGATGCTAGATACTGTTGCGAAGCGAGAGACGAACCTCAACCGAACCCGCGCCACAACAACTGACAGAAAAATCAACGAATAAAAAGTCAATGAATAATTCGTGCTCTGCATAAACTTATTTATTAATAATCTCCTCAAATCTAATTTTTGACAGCATAAATCATAATAAACGAGATTTAAAAAAACAACAACAGAAAACATGTATGGTCGGTGTTTTAAATTAAGCTAAGGCATGACTGTGGCTTTGCGGTCTCAAATTCCAGATCTGATCTCCATTTCAATTTCAAAGTACTTCCCTGACATGGCTGTTTTGTGTGTAAAATTGCTAAAGCATCAACACGTACAAAATCAGCGACAAGAAGATCAATCAAATAATGTTGTTATTATAATGTTCAGGTGATGTGAATAAATGATGAACGCAATGTATGATATAGATTTCAATACAATAAAATAAACTTTCAGCAAGACATTAAAATATCCCTATAACTGGAAGGTGGTCTTACCTTGCGCGTCAACTATTTGGAGCAGAACCCACAGAAAGAGAAGCACTAATCCCAATCTAAATCTCTGATGTTTGTTTTTCCCCATGACTTCGGAGTTTGGAAACTCCTCAGCGCGGAGTATTCGCTCCTTCTTCGGTTTGCTTCGGCCGTTACGGAGGAGCTGCTGTGGCGGTGAACGGAGGACCGACGCCGTTACGCGTCCCAAATTCTGCGTGCGCTCCTCACGGAGAGATCAGGAGAAGGTCCCGGGACTGGAGGTGTGGAGCGATGCGCAGCCGCCCTATAGCTCTCATCTAAACGCGCTCTCACTCCTCTGTCTGTATGTGTTGCTCGTTAGTTGAGAACGCGCGCTCATTCACTGTATGGCGATGTGTTTGTGCTGCTTTTCTCTCACTGGATGCGTTCAGAGGAGCTGCGGGTCGGGTTTTCTGCATCCAGCATCCAGCTGTATGCATGTGCGCTCGGCGCTCGCCGAATATGAGCAGCGTGAGACCCGTTTCTCGGTTTAACCCGCATCCAGCTGCCCGCCTCTGCCCTCCACCGGCTACTGCGAACACTAGGACCGGATTCACCGACGGATCTTCTGTTGAAATAGATGATTTTGCGATCTGGATTTGACCAAACTTGGGTGGAAATGCACTGCTAGGTTTGTCCCTATTGTACCCAGCACTGGGTTGTATTTAACCCAGCATTTTTTAGAGTGTGATATGACACTAAACATGATTTTCTTTGTCGTCAGGTTGAGTCAGTCATTCATATTTTTACTTAATAATAAAAAAGTAAATATATGTTAGCACATGGAGTAGCTACACTCTAAAAAATGCTGGGTTAAATACAACCCAGTGCAGGGGGTTACTACCCAGAAGGTTGGGTTAAACATTTAACCCAACCGCTGGGTCAAAACAGCCCAATTGCTGGGTTTGTCCCTATTTTACCCAGCACTGGGTTGAATTTAACCCAGCATTTTGTAGAGTGTACATTTTATACATGCTATTACCGTAAATATGAACGTAACTGATTTCGGTTTACGTACTCTACATAGGCTAACGTTTCAACAGCGTTCAGACGGTAAGCTAAGCAAAACTAAGTTAGTTTACAAGGGCCAGCAACCGGACATAATTAATTTTCAATTAGAGCTTTTCTGTGAACCTGCAATACTCACTTTATTTTACAATGCAAGTAAGCTATTTTCAGTGAATGTGCGAGACTTCCGATTCATTAACCGTTAATGACTTTTTGCGTTAGAGAAACAAGTGCGCAGCCATCTTTAGAATTTTCTTTGAACTTCCGTTTTTGCGGTAGCTCTATAGCATCGCTGTTAAAGATTAATTAGCTGGTGAAGTGGATTTACTTATTGTATAGTTAACGAAAGTTATCGTGAACATTGTAATGTTCGAATCGGATGTCATAACGGTAACACTTTCTATTAAGTCCATATTTATAATACATTATAAGGGTATTCTTAAGGCATTATAATGAATGCATAATGCATTATAAAAAAAAAAAAACTTATAATATGTTATATCATCTTATGTATATTCATAAGAACTGTTTTAATGTATTATAATATTTACTTATTTGTGGTTATAGCTTTTAAGAGTGTGATGATTTATAACACACAGTGAACGTTGCATCCACTTAAGTTACAATGGATTATATTTCTCATAGTTATAATGTATTATAAGTCTCATATCTTGTCATCTTTCTTATGCTACTTTACTTAAAGCAAAGACCACTTATAAGTATAGTAATAATAATAATAATAATATTTTTTCTCAAGCAGCCATAAGATCAGATATCAGATCAGATGAATGTGTAATAAGACATATTTGCTTTGAACTATTTTTAATGTAATATCAGTTTGATTATTTTGACGGTTCCTCAACAGACAAACTCATGTCAACTAGCAGTCATTGGAGTATTAGTAGTATGTCTGCTAAATATATGCTAACACTTTATTTTGATGGTTCCCCGACAGACAAACTGCACTATAAGTAATTTTGCAAGTATGTCAACATTCTACCTACCCTAACTTTAACCCTACTAATACTCTAATGAGAGTTAGTTGACATGTAGTTGCAAAGTTGCTTGTAGTCAATAGACTAGGGGTACCATCAAAATAAAATGTAACCTAACATTGCATTTTTTTTTCAGTTGAAATTATTAACTAGCTCACATCAAAATTAATATTAGACTCACAGGGAACACTCAAATAACACTCCACACCTAAGCACTTACAAGATGTAGTAAGATACTGTGCAGATCTTAAATAAACAGATATATAGTCCATTATAAATGAAAAAGTAGATTTAATATGGTGTTCATTGTGTGTTATAAATAATCATAATCTTAAACGTTATAACCACAAATGCGTAAGCATTATAATATATTCTAATTGTTGTTATGATTATTTATAAGAGGATATAACATATTATACTTTTTTTTATGATGCATTATACCCTTATATGTATTAAATATGGGCTTCATAGAAAGTGTTACCGTCATAACAAATGTCAGTAGAACGGAACATTTTTAAAGGAGCGGTTCATTCATAAATTCGTACGACTTTACCTTCACACTGTGGAAATACAAACCGGAAGACAGAAGACAACAACCGCAGTGATAAAAAGGGGCGGGGCTACATAAGGTCTATAGATAGGATAAAATAAAATGCAGTCAAGGGTAAATCTATTTGCGCTACAAACTGGTGTGTTTATAATTACTGCAATACATTATAATAGCAAATAATATAATAATAACAAATATCAGTGTGCAATATCAAGCAGTAGCTGTTTTGTACAGTTAAAAGTATAGGGCTGAAAACGAATGACAGGAAAACCTCGCACATTAAAGTTACAAATGTCCGTGCCTGGTTTTACGTTAAAAATAAGATGGATACTGTACATTTAGTCATTTAGCTAGCAGATGCTTTTATCCAGAGCAACGTACAAATGAAAAACACCTTAAGCAATTTATCATACGAGAGCCATTAATACTTGCAATAGCTCAAACGCCAAGTTTTGAGAGTAGGCTTACAGAATCTAGAACGGAATTTATTTATAGGACCTGCCTTTTACCGTGGTGCTTTAATTGCTCACATAAGAGGTGTCTTTAACTGTTTCTAGAAGGTTGTGATGGTCTCAGCAGATCAGGTGGAGGTTGGAGGCTGGCTCTTATCGTGTAATAGTCAAGTGCTCAAGCTACCACCAGGAAACAAAGGGAGTTAACGTTTTGGAAAGTGATGTTATGATGGAACCACCATGTGCTGCTCACTCGTAGAAGACGAAATGGATTATACACTTTTAGATGTGTGTTGAAGTTGGAGGATGTCGTTCCAGTGGCAGTCCTGAAGGCCATCATCAAAGCCTTGAATTTGACTCAGATGGCTACAGGTAAACTTTGGAGCGAGACCAAAAAGGGTGTGACGTGGACTACTTTTGGTTGATTTAAGATCAGATACATGCATGACAAATGGGATACTCCATGGTATAGCAGAATAAAATGTATAAACATGCCAACAAAACCAACGCAACAGTAAATAAAACAAATGCGACTATATCAATGGTTCATGCCCCGGTGCATGCTGGGTAGGAACAGGGCGAATGGGACTGAATTACAAAACAAGTTTTTTGAGTCTAGGCGTATTTGAACTAAAAAATGTATAAATCCAACGTACCTGCTGTGCTTGTTGGTTCGACTTTAAAAATCATATTGAGTATATTGCAGCAGAAAGAATGGCATGAAGATGCAAAACTTGTGTTCATGAAAGTTCGGAAAACTTTGGAATACCGTAAAGGTAAAAAACAAACAAACAAACATATAACTTGACTTAAGAATCATTTTAACATTGTGATAAGAACTTAAGAGCGATGCCATACAAAATAAATAAATATAAAAACCCGAAATAAATATTTATTGTTGTAGTATTCTTGTATTACAGTAGCCTATATTTCATTTTGAGCTTTAGAAAGATGCTATAAAATAAATAGGAACTAGCTGTTGTTGTACTATTATTATGATTGCAATATTTATTGTATTTTTTACGTTATTATTCTTTATTATTCTATTGCAAAATAGAACCCAAAGAAACAATTAAACCACACATAGGATAGAGTACACAACACTATTGTTGGTCATGTTAAATTTGCTCATGGTCAATAACCAGAAAGATGTGCATCGGATTCCAGTGGAGGAATCATTTCCAGCCAGTGATACACTGATATCACTTGTGGCATCACACCTCCAAAATCCAATAGTGATGAATAATATGCAGGCAAACACACACACAAGAACATAGACTTGGGCAAACACAATCTTCAGATTGCCCACTGTGCCAGCGTTATCTGTTGTCCATTCTATTCAACATGGCCATAACCGAGTCAGTGCCGCTATTGTGGAGATAATTCAGTTATGGCAGCGATATGATCGCAGCGCGTTTCTTCAGGTAAGAAGTCTATCCCGGCATCCATAACCCCAGCGGATGCCCAAAAACATTCGCTATACGCCCTCGCAGGGTTACAGAAGCAAGTATGCATCATAGTATTTGTATAGCAGTGAGATTGGGTCGCTCCTACGGTTTGTCGAAATCACTCTGCGGCAAAACTCCTCGCTTGACAGGCACTCAGCGCTGGGTGATTGGCATCCTGTCTGCTGGATCTGTGTGTTGCAGTGCTGCACTCTGTGTGTGTGAGAGAGAGAGTGTGTGTGCTGAGTTTGAGATTTTTTTTACAGTGACATCAGTACATTTAGCTTCAATATATAAAGGCCGAATTGAGTCACCTTGAAGAAAATTACCTCCATAAAATGAGTTTGTGATTGGATTCACTCCATCACACACTCACATACAGACACATCAATACTCTCTGAGTAACAGACACAGCAACGAGAGATCAAGAAATAGAGCGAACCGCTTCTGAACCGGGGTTTCACTCACCCGAGGGTCACGCCAGCACTCGTTCGCCGGTGGACTTAATCAGCATGACAGAACTGTCATTTTAATGAAGCCGCTAGTCGAGTCGAGAGCAGGGTCACCGGCACACGCTCGGATGATAATCAGACGTGTAGGCCTACGAGTTCACATCCTCACATCTTCACAGTTAAAGTGCCAATATGTTTGTCCGTGACCTGGCAATGACGGTACAAGCGGCTTTTGCTCGAACTGCGCCTAAAATGACGTACTATAGCTACACTGTACTTAAATACTCGGTTATCTACAAATTTCGAGGCATAATATCACTTATTCGTATAATTGGTGGGCATATGAATTAATTTTAATGTGTTGAAACCCTCTGAATACCTTGCTGCACGTTGATTGCATTTGTCCTAGCTTTTCATTTGTCAGATATATTACTAATTGAAATTCTTTTAATTATTGGGGGGGACTTGGTGGTGGTTATAACGCATGTTTGTGACATAATTACAAACG